TGGGTAGACCATCTGTAAGGATCTAGACACAACAAGCCACAGCGGCTAACTTTGACGTTAGTTCATTTAGACTCCTGGCCCAAGTCATACGTTGGCCACCTTGCTTTTGCTTCCAGCCGATAGCTGCGCGCGCGAAGACAGCACGGCGAGGTAAGCTATTAGTAGACATGCGAAGAACATTTCCAAGCCACTGAATTCTGCGCAGAGAAATTATGCTGTTCAGTGGTCAGCAAAGTCCGTCTGATCTGAAAGTCCTTCGTCGAACATCAATACTAGTGTGATGTTACCATCGTTCACCAGCAGTGCTCCGAAGGCAGTAGTGATCAACAGCAGTCAGCCTCTCAACATCCTTTGCGTAAACAGGCCGTCTCGCAGCCATAGAGCAGAACCGCTCTCACACCGTGGCATTGTAGACTCGGCCCTTCAAAGATGGACTCAGATCACCTCGAGATGGCTCAAAGAGATCTAATCGGTTAAACCATTAGCGCTGAGGCAGCTTCTGAGATAAACGAACTTGTCCGCCACTTCCAATGAATGACCTAGAAGAGTAAGGGTAAGAGTAACGCCTAGCCAGTCCTGCAGGAAAATTTTGCACTTCGAAGGTCATTCCAAAGTGCGATACAGACACCTCCAACCTACACAGGACATTTTGGGCCGCCTGTGAGAAATCGCAGATTACGGCGATGTCGTCTGTATACTCCGAATCCCGAACTCGGTCCCCCGGAAGCAGTTCGACGCCGTTGGGTTCGCAGTTTTCTAGAGCACTCTCAAAGATTTCGTCCATAGCGAATGCTAGGCAACCCTGTCTTACGCCACTGGTGACACTAAAGCGAGGTGAAAGTCAGCCGTACACCCGCACTCGGCCCGAGGTTTGAGAGTAGATGGCTTGAAGTAAGATGAGGTACTTCTCGGGCATTTCTCTTTTCAGTAGACATCTCCGGAGAGCAGCTACGTCGACTGAGTCAAACGCGGTTCGCATTGTCTAAGAAGACAACGATCGTTCGCCTGCTGAATATTTGATGACGCTGGAGTATTTGGCGGAGTGTAAAGATGTGCTCGATGCAACTCTAACCTGAGTGGAACCCAGCTTGTTCTTCACGCATGCTCTTTTCGCGTACTAGGATAAACCTCCTTGAAAGCAGAGCTGCGAGCACCCTGGAAGCAATACAGAGGTGACTAATATGTCTGTTGTTGGCACAATCAGTTCGGGTACCCTTTTTGTAGACGGGCACGATATCTGCTAAGCTCCAACCAGATGGGATAACTTTAGTGACCCAGATCTCTTGTAGGAGAGAGACTAACTCCTGATCATGTGATGGACCGCCATCTTTGAAAAGAGCCGGAGCGAGTTCATCTGGGCCAGAGGCTTTGTAGCGCTTTAAGAGGCGAGGGTCCTGGGCAACCTCAGCCTCAGATGGTGGTGAAGCACCTACACACCAGGGAGTGCTCTGGACTCCAGAATGGGAACTCATTGATGTTGCTGGACAATTAAACTGCTGCTCAGAATGCTCGAACCAGTGCTCGAGTCGGCGATTTTGACAGTGGATTGCCTCGCCATTGGTTTCGCATAAAACTTCGCTTGCAGTCGGCCTTTTGCCGTTAGTAGATCGGATCAGGAGGAAAAACTTTCGGAAATTCCCCGAGGTGGCCGCTTGCTCCATCTCAATAACCCATTGCGTCCACCAGGCCTCGCGATCTTTCCGGAGAAGCTGTTTGGCGCAGCGTTAGTAGTTTTGCGTAGTGAATGGCATTTAACGCTAACAGGAATTGCTCGACGGGCTACGAGAAGTTGGAGGGATGGTGCAGAGATCCAGTGGTTGACAGGACTAATGGTGAAACCTCAGACCAGAGTTACAGAGTTGCACATGGCGCCGCGGATGCGTTTCCGGTGTGTTTCAATGTCTGTGCATGTGACAGTCTTCAGTCTTGAGGCCAACGCATCCTGAAATGCACAAAGAACGTTCGGGACAGACAGCTTAGCTGCGTCAAGCCGTTTCTGACGATGCTGCTGGGATCCACCAAAACTTAGTGCGACCTTGGCACACACCATCGCGTGATCCGAAGTGAAGTAAAAACCCTAAATTGATATGCAATCCTGTATGTAGCCATGCCTGCGATAGCCACTGTCAATGTGGTCAATTTGTGCCTACGGCTGGCCAGGTGATGAGGTTCTCCAGGTGGCGCGTTGACGCCATAATCCCCGAAAGCTAGTGCTCGATAGAAAATGGTCTTGATCGGCGCAAAACTGAACTAGCCGATCACCATTGTCTGTTATGCGAGTACCATGACGGTGTTGACCACTGAGTTCATGTTCACCAACTTCAAGTCTACTAACCTGCGGCGAGCACCACGATATCGGTACGATGCTTTTTACGGAGAAGATCCGCCAGTTGGCCATAGAACCGGTCCTTAACTGACTCCGGGCTGCAGTATGTGGGAACGTACGTCGTGACAATGAATAGACGGTGTCTGCTGACTTCGTGCCTAGAAAGTCGCACTGAGTTTTCAAGTCGGATTGCGCATAGTCGACTGTCCACAGGGATTCATCTAATAGCGCGGCCTCAGCACGTGTGCTCAATGCAATTCCCACGCCAGCATAACCAGCGGCTTCGGCGGTTGAGTCTCCAGATAGGCGCAAAGTGAAAATGCCGGTAGAATTCGCGACGGTGAAACTAGTCGCGGCGTCGTGCTAGAGTCCTGTAAACGGGTCTAGCTGAGACAGCAGACATTAATGGCCATAGTTTCTAAAGTGCGAGCAAGGGCTGCCTTTGGTCCCTCTGCATCAGTGTCCGCACATTGAAGGTTGCCAGCTTAAATTGGGAACGGTGCGCTAAAAATGGCTTGTCAACACGACTTGGCGCACCCTCGGGCCTAGGCTCCTGATTCTTATGGTGAGAACGTTCGCCCAAGGCGGCACGGTGTTGTGAACTCGAAAACGGAGTGGGAAAACCAAGGGTGGTGGGTTGAACAAACGTGGAACAACGTGCTTAAACGGTGGTGCGGTAAAATCTGGTTTGTCAGGTTCAGCCACTAGCACCTCGGCCGAGGAGAGCAGTTCGAGAGTGTGAAAGCAGCTAGAGCGAGAGCGGAGAGAGAGAGAGAGAGAGCGAAGATTTGTTGTGACATGGATCCATAGGTTGTGGGCATGGTGCTTCTCGAATGCCCCGACTGAGGAAGAGGGTTGACTTAGGGGACCCCACCCGGAGCCTTGGGTAATGAGAGATCTAACCAGCAGTGCAGCGGGGCGATTAAGGTATATCGCGAACCGTTGAGAGCCGGCTATCTAGGTGAGAATAAACCGGCTTTCGAGTATAGGCAAACTAAGGGCGCCCAAAGAGCCCGAGTAAAACAGCAAGGAAGCAAGGATTCCCTAGACTACTGTACTCTCCGCAAAGCACGAAGGCCGTTGACAGCCGCGTGGCCCATACGCCTTCGTAGAAGCTGGTGGCTATCGAGGTTGTTCATCTGCTCTCTGTTAAGTACTCACTTCTGTGACCAGGATCGAGTGGTCAGTGACTCTAAAACCGGTCACTTTGGCTTTGGCATAACGTCTTGCGAGTTCTTGTGGTATTTACTGAGGAACCAGGTGATCAGCCCAGAATCCCCCACGCTGTAGGACGCTGCCGCTGATTGTCCGCGTCTGCTTATTCATTTCGCCTGCGAACAGCCGAAACTTATGCAGTTACCTTCACAAGGAAGGCACTCCCCGATCCGCAACCTGGAGATGCGTCTGGTGGCGTACAGCTCCGCCGAACTAACTAGTGCTCGGTTCACTTCCAGGTTGGGAGCACTATTTGGTAGCATCTGCCTGCTGAGATTTTCCCACTTTTCCACCACAATTCCCTTTCGCCATTATGTCCTCGCGGACTTGTATCTCTTGCTTGTCCTTATCTAACTACTAAACCTGAAGCGAAAATAGTGAATGCCAATTTTTATTCCGTTTGTTTATTACTTCAACACTACGGATCATTCAACGCATATGGAGTTGATTTGACCTGCGTTCATGACAGAAATACATTCCCACCTTTTCTTTTTACATTGATGCCGGTTTTTTTGCACAGTGATCAGCTGTTCACAACTCCCATATCGCTTTCCCATCGAATATGTATTTGGCCTTATTAACTTGTTTACGGCAACTCCAAACCCATGAATGGGAACTTCTGTTTTGTGTGCGCTCGTTCAAATTATTCTGAATAACGCTTCTACTATGCTTGTATTTGTTACGTTTCCTCCGACCGTGCGGATAACCGGCAAATTCATTTAAATACCTGACTAGCCACTTCCCAAATCAAAACACAATGATTTGGACAAAACTTACAGTTGCGATTCGGAGGACAGCGTTGATAACTTTCATAACGACTATTTAGTTCAACAGAGGTGATCTAGAGGAGGCTGGTGAATTTATCAGACGTCAGTAAAGGTTCTCGTTGCTCAGCTTTAGACCAGAAGTACTGTCGTTGGCTTATTACAACTCAAGATCATTCTCCTTGTTTGCTTCCTGGCAAGTGAGCTGGGTTGGTCCAAATCTCTGCTCAGGTTACCGCCATGATGATAAGACTGCAAGGCGCTTTTAAGCGGGCCCTCTTAACATGCCTTTAGCTTAAAGAGAGCTGTGCTTGTTTTGGACTGTAAAGGAAAATCTCTATTCAGTACACAACAACTCTGTCTCTTCGTTCACTGATTAGAGCTGCCCGCATTATGAGCTGTTTTCCTGTACCTTTTACTAAACTGAAATGTTTTATGTTTCCCTTAACTCAGTGGCATTTTTATGGTGTTTTGCCACTTCTCTTGTCGTTGGTATATGTGCGCTTATTTAGCAGCAGCTAGTTGTTTTATTTGATCTTTTCGCCTGATAGCGTGCTCTACATCACTTTTATGAGTATTCCCTTCCATGTGACCGTCACTTAACCCACAAAGGGGATGCAAGACTTTAATTAAATTCGCACGTTACTTTGCTTGGCCTGAGTAGTCTTCACCACTTCTTTACAATGTCAAACTAGGGAGGCACTTCCTGCTTTGGCACACTTCGAAACACGTGGAGTCGCCCAACGCGGTTGGAGGGTCGATTTATGCATCGGTGATTCACTTGCCTTGCCTGTGGAAGGGCATATTCAAGTAAAAGAGGCGCGGCCTCCCCCTCTAAACTCACTCTATGCCGCTGATCCATCTGCCCCCATATGTGCATCAACCAATTATGTGACGAAGGATGAAAATCCAACCCAGCTGGACTCATCACATGTTATCCGCGGTACGTTTACTTCTCGCTTTCGGGTGACCTGTTCAACCATGACCATTTCTTCAAACTTCAACCACATCCTGAACCGGTCGTCGCGCAGATTATCAAGACTCACCTTATCTGCTGCATACAGCAGCAGATACATAAATACAGCGAAAACATTATACTGCTTGCGCCCCCAACGCAATAAAGTTAACGAAGATAACCACAATTAGCGTAAGCAACGTGGCCAGTTAATAGAATATTAGTCAGGTAGGCAGAACAAAGCAAATAAAGTGGAATGAAATCCATCCAGCTTAAAAAGACCTAGCTGAAGTGTAAGTTGGTTTAGCCCAACTGCTGTGAAGAATCACCATGAATGCAACATCAGCTTCAGCATAGGGCGCATCTTATACATATGGAGTTGGCGGCATTCGGTTTCGCATTTGCCTGTCACTGTGACCTCCACAGTGACAGCCACAGGACGCCTGCGCCTACAGAGGGACTATGGGTGGATTGCGCTGCACCACACATTTTCACCCACATACCTCATATTTAGTGTAAACCCGAAGGAATAAGATCGGGAGGCATGTGGATGGGAGCCACGTTTCATCGACGGAGCCGGCCCACGCTCCTTCACAGGCAAACACAAACACGCTGTAGTTGGGAATCAATCGCACACAAGGCGGTGGTTAGACCGTAGTCCGCTCCACACTGAGTGCATGGAACCACTCTTTGATCCTAGCACGACCACAAGGACCGTGCACCTCGTCCCCTCTAGCAAGACCAACTGTCTCCTGGTGCCACTATGGACGAGGTAGTGGGTAGTAGACAGGTAGGCAACTTGTCAACATGCTCATCAAGTGCAGCCACATCGGGGATGTCAAACGACAGCCAATCAATTGAAATGACATTATCAAATAAAATATATCTGTTAAAGAATACCGCTATGCAGACATAACTCCTCCCTAAATTAACATATGAAGTAAATTGGTTAGCAACGAATCCGCGATAAGTACAAAATGTCCAGAAGTTACACAAGTTAATTGTACTTGACTTTGATAACATTTTCTAGTTCGTGACGTTCTCTTAAAGTATATCTTCTGACGTCTTGAATATATTGCGGCCAATTTATTTCATATGCTCATATGTTGGGCCCTATGCAGGGGCTGATGTTGTATTCATGATGCTTCTTCACCGCAGTTGGGCTAAACCAACTTACCCTTAGCTAGGTCTTGTTAAGCTGGATAAATTTCATTCAACTTTATTTGCTTTGTTCTGCCTACCTGACTAATCTTTTATTAACTGACCACGTTGCTTACGCTAACTGTGGTTATCTTCCTTACCTTTATTGCGTTTGTAGCATTTTTGAGTAACTTCTGGACATTTTGCACTTATCGCGGATTCGTTGATAGATAACTTATTTTATATGCTAATTTAGGGAAGATATGTCTGCATAGCGGTATTCTTTAACTGACATATTTTACTTGATATTTTCATTTCAAGTGATTGACTGTTGTTTGACATCTCCTGTATGGCTGCGCTTGATGTGCATGTTGACAAGGTGCCTACCTGTCTATTACCCACTACCTCGTCCATACTGGCTCCAGGAGACAATTGGTCGTTGCTGGATGGGACGGGGTGCACGGTCCTTGTGGTCGTGCTGGGCTCGAAGAGCGGTTTCATGCACTCAGTGTGGAGCGGACTACGTTCCAACCACCGCCTTGTCTGCGATTGATTTCCAAATACTGCGCGCATGTGTTTGTCTGTGGAAAGTTTGAGCTGGCTCCGTTGATGAAACGTGCCTCCCATCCGCTTGTTCCCCAGTTTTCTGCCTTCTGGTTTAAACTGGATATATATATATATATATATATATATATATATATATATATATATATGGATAGGTGGCATCCGTGCTGGTATTTGACTGTCACTGTCATGGTGACTGCCACTGGACGCCTGTGCTTACAGAGGGACTATGGGAGGCCAACCGCTGTCATATGCATGACAGGTACCTGCATGGCAGTGGAGGACGGGTCGGGCTATATCGCAGTTAGCTAACAATTCGTGATGGTCGGCTACCGTCCTCCATGGCGCAGTTGCATAGGCTGCGGGCTAGTTGGCGCAACCCACTAGCAGTCATGGGTTCGATCCTGCGCAGAGGACCGAAGGATGCGCACCGCTGCCGAGCCCCAATAAGGCGAAACGGCCGTCTGGTGTTTTTCCGGCTAGGTAGTTGACTTATCTGGATTGTCAGCTGACTGCGACGAACAAAAGTATGCACCCAGAACTGTCGCTCGATTTGGAGCACATGTGTGGACACCGATCATGCACTTGTAATTGTTGACCTGCGGATGCGTTTTGGCGGACGCCCACGACGACGCTGTGAGCGCATTGACACCAGCCAACTGACAAAGCCAGCTGTTCTGAATGCGTATCGAGGTACGCTGACATGCGAGTTGAGTAAGCGCTCACTGGAGACAACTGATGGTCACTGGTCACATGTCCACCAGATCTTACTAGCAGCAGGCAGATCCTCATGTGGTATGTCTGATAGCCAACATATATATTGGGTCTCTTCGCGGTCTCTGGAACTTATCGACGCTCGCCGGCATATCCCGGCTGGAAGCGAACACAATGAAACTCGTAAAGAGCTCCGGGCGAGACTCCGTGCTAGCCTGAAGAGACCGCGAGTCTTGGTGGTCTCATCGTGCGTCAGAGATGGAAGTGGCCGCTGCCCTTGGCAACCATCTTAAGTTATTCCGTCTGATACGGGAAACGGCCAGCAGGAGACCTGGTGTTAGTGAAACCATACGTGACGAGAGTGGACAGCCTATCCACAATTTGTCAAAATGTTTGGAGCGTTGGGCTGAGCATTTTAAAAAGCAATGTAATCGGCTAGAATTGTTCGATTCTTCGCCGGCCAGTGATCGCCCTGCTCCGTGGGTTGTCCCTTTGGATCCACCCTCTTGCTCAGAAGTCGAACGTGAGGTCGGACTGTTGAAGTTGAACAAAGCCGCCGGACCAGATGATCTCCCTCCAGCCCTCTTCAAATTCGGAGGCTCTGCTCTTTCTGATGCTTTACATGAATTACTAGTGAAACTGTGGGAGCAGGAGACTGTCCCAACTGACTGGAGGCGCTCCGTTATTGTTCCCATCTTCAAAGGAGGCTTGCGTTCGGAATGCGGCAGCCATAGAGGAATCAGTCTGATCTCCATCGTCTCCAAATTACTCGCCTCCATCATTCTTCACAGACTGACTGGCGCTCGTGAAAGCCAGATTTGTGAGGAGCAAACCGGGTTTCGTCAAGGTCGTGGCTGCATCGACCACATCTTCACCTTGCGTCAGTTGTTGGAGCACCGTCACACATATTGGCGGCCCACCGTAGTCATGTTCCTCGACGTCAAAAGTGCCTTCGATTCGATTGATCGATGTGCCCTTTGGAATTGTCTACTCAGGAAAGGTGTACCTGAGAAATATGTAAATCTTATCCGAGCATTATACGCGCGTAGCTCGGGCAGTGTGAGGGCTTACGGCAACTGTCGCCACTCTTCAATATCTCCATCGGTGTGAGACAAGGATGCCCGCTGTCACTTTTCCTTTTCAACTTCGTTATTGACGAAGTCATGGAGATTGCATTTACAGGACATGACTTGGAAGGTGTGGAACTACTCCCAGGAGAATGACTTCTTGACTTGTAGTATGCAGATGACATTGCCCTCATCTGTGATAGCTCCCAGGCGTGCCAAGCCGCGCTGGACAGATTAGCACTGGCTGTCAGTCGCTTCGGGCTTTGCTTTGCACCACCGAAGTGCAAAGCGTTCCTCCAAGATTGGCAGGGATCGCCCCATGCGCTGACCCTTGGTGGGGATCAGCTAGAAGTCGTTCAAAAATTAAACTACCTGGGATGTTGTATCAGCGCCCTTGGGATCGAAGACGAGATTACGAACTGTATAGCAAAAGCTCGAAGTGCTTTTGCTAACCTTCGCCACCTATGACGGCGGCGCGACCTTACTCTCGCCCTGAAAGGGTAGAGTGTACAATGCAGCGGTACGTTCGACCTTACTGTACGGTTGCGAAACCTGGCCCCTACGATCGGCGGACATAAAGAGGCTAGGTACGTTCGACCATCGGTGCCTTCGCAGTTTGGCTCACATCTGGTGGGAACACCGCGTGAGTAACGAGCGTGTTCGGTGCCTTGTTTACGGCACAGGAAAAGGATCTGAACCGCTCAGCACCGTTATTTCCCGCACCAGGCTCTGATGGCTGGACCACGTGTTGCGCATGCCAGCCCACCGACTTCCACGACGTGCGTTGTTTGCTCACAGGGTATGTGGATGGAAGAAGAGGTGGGGTGGCCAAGTGATGACTTTGTCCAGAGGAATGAAGGCCCTCACTTCTGAGCTGGCCTCGGTTGGAGCTTCACGGCTCCCTGGTTGGGGTCCAAAAGACGGTGAACACGTTTGGCTGGATACACTTGCTGACATGGAAAGGAACCGACCTCAGTGGCGTTCCTGCTGTGAGTTTCTTTATCCTTCCCCATCCGTTTTTGCCTCCCCCTCCACCTACCAACTCATTTCGTAGCTTAGAACATAATAATTTTTCTTTTTACCTAGTAGCTGGCTGGTAGCTTACCGGCACGATGCCTATCCATTGCTGTTAGCTCAGCTGACATGCAACTGTTGTATTTATTTTCCTTTTCCTTTATGTATTGCGGCACAGTAGCTGAGGTGTTTTCCACCTCTAGCTGACGCGTATAATGATGATTGATGATGCTTGGTCGTAGTTCGTTTCCCACGAGATGGAACCCCTCTTTGAACCTCTAACCGTCACGAGGACCGTGCACTCCGTCCCCTCCGGCATCGACCAACTGTGTCTGGGAGTCTATATGAACGAAGAGGTGGGTAATAGATAGGTAGACACCTTGTCAACATTCACATCAAGCGCAGCCACACCGGGGAGCTCATTCAACATCTGACTCCTGAAATGCAAGAAAACTCATTACACAGACAAACGTACCACACCTGCCAAAA